GGCAGTCTTCTAATTTTTTCATTTTTCTCATGACATTCTTGTACCCTTACTCCTCAGTTCTGGTCAAATGTGTTTTGTCATTTGGCGAGCATAGTGTCATTCTTCTCCTTCTTGTTCTCGCCGCTTGCGTCTAACGAGCGCGCTGATGATTGGACGAGGCAAAGGGCAAACAGCCCCCAGTCAAAGCGGCTAATTGAACTATTTGATGTGAGGCGCTCGGCTTTGAAGCGGTGGTTGCGTGCGGGCTGTGATCTGGCTATTAAGCGAAAGTGTCCAGGGAGGAGGAGGTTTGATGGCTGGACTATAATAAACAACAGGCGGCGCTCCCGGCGGGCGCAATAGTAGCAGCCGTCGGGCGGCCCGTGCTGAGGTGACAAAGCTCCGCCTTGTTTTGGAGAGTCTGCTGTTGCCGCCATTCTGCCTAAGCCACCTCCACCCCCCTCCGCATCCTTTTCTCCTCCCTCCTCTGTGCGTCATGGCCGGACTCCAACAATGGCTCGGGTTTCTGGTGTCACGCGCACACGCACACGCACACACACACACACACACACACACACACACACACACACACACACATAGAAGCACACAAACACAGATGTGACAAATGATAGGGCGGCGAGGCGAGGCAAGCTAATAGTAGGCCGCGCGCCTGCCGACATGCCCGTGGGCCGTGGCTGTTAAATTGTATCCAATTACGAAGCATGCCATGATTCGAGGGGGGGCGAATAATAATTCTTCCCGCATGATAGGGAGATTCGCTTATTTCCTCTGCTCTGGCGGCGCAAGCCGTGAAATGTTGCAGCATCTGTACGCCCTCCTTTCTTTTTCAGATGGGTGCCGCAAATGACGAAAAGTCAGGATTTGCGGAGGACATGGCGCGCAATTTTCTTTCATCAAAATCCGGTTAAGCGAATGGGCAGACGAGACTGGGGCCAGCAGGGTGCGACCCGTAATTAATAGCCACGATTTAAGATCGTTATGCCACTGTATCTTTTGCACGAATGAAAAAGTTTCTGTCGTATTGGATGCATGACAATCTCAGTAACTTGCGTAACTGGCAAAATGCGCTACATCCGGGATGTTAAAAATCGTCCGACAGCATCTATTATTCCTCACTGCTGTGGCTTGAAAGTTTCTGTATACATCACACACACACCGAATATGAATGTGATCTGAATTAAAATGTGGCCTGTGTTCTGAGCAGTTATAGATGATGAATACAAAACGGGTTTTCTTCGATTTTCGGGTTAAAAAAAAAAAATGGGGGTACTACATCAGATTTGGGAATTTCCATTCATTTCAATGGGGAAAATGTGTTTGACATACCAGAATTCGGTGATGGAATGAATACAACTGGTAGACCAAGGTACCATTGTAGCCCTATCCCAAATTTTTAACAAACGATGAAAAGTAAACAGGCTTGTCTAGTGAAAAAGCTTCATTCTAAAATGGTCGACTTTAGTCCCCGTCGTCATGTACATTTTATTTGTATTTAATTCAGTGATCCTTTTGCGTACCACGAGAGGGAGCCCGCATACGACTCGTGGTACTCGAAGGACACTTTTGAGAATCGGCGATAAAACGTATTCAATTTATGCTCGCAAACACGCATGGTTCGGCACACTTTGCATAGCCGGAGGCATTGAGATACGGCGCCGTGCAAATGAAATAAACACACTGAGGCGCAGCTTTGTTATGAAACGTCTCTGCTGCTCATTTATTTGATGGAGTGCAAGTCAAGTCAAGCCAACGACGGTTACAAAAAAAAAAACAACAACAACAAAAAAAAGGGGGGTTGGGGGAGGATGCCTGTCAGTGTGTGTATTGGAGTAAGATGGTGGCCAAGCTGCATTTAAGTGCAAACTCAGTCGCGCGGTGGTGTCACTGACACCCGGCGGGAAAGTTCAACAGCTCGAGGGGGTGAAAAGGGGTCAAGTGTCAGGTCATTAGTTCAACTCGTCAGGAAGAGGCGAGTGACAGCGGTCACTTCACGCCGGCAGCTGCCTTAAAAAAAAAAAAAATGAAAACAACAACAAGACGGAGGCTGAATTTAAATGATTATGCTGCCAATCACAGCTCGCCACCACTGACACAGGCCGTGAGATGATGGGCTAACACAGGCTGTTGCTAGGCAGCGCTCGCCACGTGCCATCATTTACCTTTTTGTTTAGACACCGTTGAGAAAAAACAACCCAAACAAAAAAAATCCACAATATTTGTCGGCTTTTTTTGTTGTTCGTAAGGCTGAGCAGCATGATGAGCTTTTTCTTGACAGGCACATACAAAAATAGAATGTACATTTGACCATACGATGTTTTAAATAAATACAGTATAACAAAGAGAAATCGGATTTTCATATAAGAAAGAATACAAAAAGATTTTGAAGAAATTCGTCAACTTCAAAATCTGGATTTGCTTTTTGAAATGTATTTCAGAAAAAAAAACCCTCCAAGATGTTTGTTTGCGCTCTAATCTTGGGAAGCGGAGTTCTTTGAGTTTCATGTTTGAGGGCGTTGATGAAGTGCCCACGCGTAATGACGAAATCCCAACTTCCTTAAAATTTAGCGTCGCTCATGCGTCGACTATCTGTGGTTCAAATTTATGAAGAAATTGAAGAAAATGTCTCGGACGAGCTGGTTTTAAGGACCCGTGGCGAATGAACCTAAAATGGCCACTTCAAATCAAAATGGAAGACTTGCGGTGTGTTTTCGGGCATGGTGTCTTGAGACTTTTTTTTTTTTGTGGTTCTTACATAATCCTAACAGACATGACGACTTGATTTCATTTTGCTGAATGAAATTACCTTCGAGGTGGTGGCCAAAACGGCTCCTAAAGAGCTGCTTCAAACCAAAACAGCAATTTTTTCCCCCCATACCGCATATGTATAGATCAGAAAGAAAAGAAAAAAATCAACGAAAGAATCAGCTTCGATTCAGAAACTGTAAACTGTCTTTTGAATGGTGTGAAATCTGCAAAGGGGAAAAATTTAACGTCCGCATAAAATTGAAAGATTCATGGCCAATTTTGGACCCCTTTGAGATCTCAAGTCCAATTGGACACACACGAAAAATGAATGCGATCTGAATTCAAATTCTGAGCAGTTACAGGGCAGATCGATGATGAACACAAAATGGGTTTTCCTTGATTTTCGGATCGTACCGTGTGTAAAAGTAAACAAAAGATAAACGTGTACACTTTATGACGCCGTAACTCTCATCCGTATCCGAACGACAAGATGTTCATTCGTGTGCGCCGACACCTCGGATAATGACTGGTATGTTTTCGATCAATCATCGTCGATAAAGGTCGAAATTTCGCCGAGCAGACTCTGAATGGAGGCCAAATTAGCCATTAACCTTTGAATTTTGCTGATGTCAACGTACTGTGTCAATGCCTGGGTTCTCCGACATTATAAGCTTCGGAGAAACGTCGGCCATTGGTCAGGTCCGGTGATAAAGTAATGGGTATACACACACACACACACACACACACACACACACACACACACACACACACACTGATTTGAACATTTCCCTCCTTTTTGCGCTCAAATTTACCAAAGGCCACATTGGGGTGTGTCAAGGAGTGAGGATTTTTTTTCTTCACAATCTGCTCGGAAAACAGTCGAGGCCGACAATCGTAAGTGTTAAAAAATATTTGCATGGAATCCATGATCTTCAAATCATTCAACCACGTTTACAGTTGATTAAACGGTGAGCCTATTACTTCTTCGAATACGATTTGTTGTTTTTCTTCTTTGTATTTTTTTTTTCCCCCCTCGGTGTGAATGCGCCGTGGCAACATGCTGCCTCTCCAGGTCAGTCTAGGTACTGCGACAAACTGGACGATTTCTTTTCTACCCCTTTTGTGGGGTCTGTTAACGTGATGAAAAATAAGATGTTACGAAATCAGTGCGAGGAACCTACTAAATTAGATCTGAAAGTGAAAGATGTGGGTGAAAGGAAGACAGAAGAAAATGTGGAGAAAGCGCACACAAAATAGCAAAGACGAAGAATGTTCAAAATCAGTCACCCGTGTACCCTGCTTGAGAAAATTGAATGCGCTACTTGACGGAAACCAGCAAAGGTGCTGTTTATTCACACTAAGGCAGAGGTCAGAGCATTCCGAGGTTTATTTTTTGAGCGTTTTTGGAAGGTGGGGGGGGGAAAAAAGCAGAAATAAATACTGTCCAAGGCAGGAGACGTAAATGCTTATTTCCTGCTGTGCGCCAGGCTCATGTATAAATAAGCGAGGAAGTCGTCGCCCTCCGGAATGCGTGCGCGCGCCAGAGCGGCACGCGTCAACGTTTTAAAAAGCCTGCTTTTCCACCTCTTCTCCTGCAGAGAGGTGAGAAGGTAATTGCCCCTTGTTATGATTGCCTTTTATTGTTTTTTTTTTCCTCTCGCTCCTCCATCTTGGTGGTGTGCCAAAAGTGCGGCTTGAGGGAAACCTGGGGGGTAGTGAGGAGGAATGTTTTAAGACCTCGGGGATGCGGCAGAAGCCTTTTTAACACCGCAAGGAGGGTTTTTTTTTTTTTTTTCGGGTCCCGAGGTTGTGGTATTGCAGGCGGCCCTGCTCAGTATGTGTGTGCGCGTCTTTAGGATATTAAATAGTAAAGGATGGGGATTAATAATGGAATCTGACAGCTCATCTCCGGCTTCTATCTGCCTGACTTTCCCCCCAATCTTGCCTTCCACTCTCTGCCTACCTCCTTTGCCTCCCTCTCGCTTTCTAATCCACCGCATTTCTCTTTGTCAGGAAGCCGCCCTCCTCCTCCTCCTCCTCTTCCTCCTGCCGCCGATCCTCGTCGCCTTTGTCTCCCTCAGGGCCCCCAGTCTTTCAGGGTCATGTTTGGCGCGTAGAAGAGCGTGTTGGCATCCCCGTCGTCCTCGTCATCGCTCAGGTCAGCCAAGTCGGCTTGGGTATAACGCACCGCCCCGGCGTGGTACTCGCCGATCCGCGTCTTGTCACACAGCCGCGACTGCAGAGCGAGCTGCGACACACACACAAAGTTCACAATCACCGGAGACCGCGGTGGGGGCTTGATATCTTCATGTCTGACGGTGCTTTTTACCAGCTTGGAGTGATCTAAGCGGAAACTAAGGGCAGTGAGAAAAGCTCCGTTTTCTGCAGCAAAGGGGAGACTGTGGAGTCTAATACCGCAGAAACCAGAATTAAGGCACAGCGACAAACAGAGCCCCGATAGCAGGACTCCTTCTTGTGACTTTCTTCAAGTCAACATTCCGAATGTCCAAAACGACGTCGCTCAAGAGATAATCGATCACGCTAATTTTTTAACTTGTGGCATGTCAATGTTTACATGCGGGGTTGTGTTCTCTCGCCACGCTGGTTGCACTGCGCGTGCCACTTTTTGCCTGTTCTTCAGACGTACGAAATAAAGAGGCAAACTTGGGCCATCGTGTTTTGTCTGTGGCAATTTTGCTCATTTGACAGACTCAATCCGCGGATGCGGGTGGATAGTCAATCGGCTTCCTCATCTATTTGCAGTGAGTAATCTAGTTTTTGTCCATTTTTACACGCATAAAGCTCAAGTGAATCTCTAATTCGCCATTTGAGATTTCTGTAAATCAGGCCCATAAGTGCCAGATTTTCCTGACTTCGCTGACCTCGTTGCAAGGTAAGCGATCCATCATGGCAGATTTGAAGTTGAACCAAGAATTTGATGGCGTTTGAGGTGTAATGACGCCAGTGGCCACAGAGTGTGACATTGGGCGCCCGAGAATAAGGGTCCACGCGCCTTTTTGTGGAAAGCATATTGTCACTGACGCATTGGTGTCACCACACATTTCATTATCTTAATAGAGCAAGCTGCAACTGCCGTGCGAACGCATCCTTCGAATGCAGCGCGAAAAGGGCTCTTGATGGCGAACGGTTTGGAAGGATCCACTTGAATGTTTCCCGCAGCCATTGCCGGCCACAAAATCAATATTTGGACTTAGATAAACACAGACAGACGAACACGCACACACACACGCGGAGCGATACAGAAATTGTACATTCATCCTAAACAACCCAATTTTCTTTCAAACCGCTGTCGTGGATTTCTTTTTAATTTTCCATCGGCAGCAAAAAGCCTCGCAGGAGCCATTTCATTGGACACACAAGACCCACGGATACTGTTGACGCCATGCAACAGTTAGTCGCTGGGTGTGTCACCCACTAAACGCTTCTCTAAAAATAGATGCCCACCCCCCCGAATCGGAAAACGGAGAGCAACAATAATCACCCCGACTGTTCACACGCGGCCATTCAGGAGTTACCCGGTGCGCACATTTCAACCCTGTCGCGAACCCAAAAATGGCAGGACCTATTGAGGACCGCGTCTCTCGAACGAAATCAAGTGTGGCATATGAATCGTTCGCCAGCTATTGTTCCAGTTAGCTTACCGGTAAACTATTGACTTGCATCCGTGTTTATGCTCTGCCACCTATTTGTCGCCCACGATTTCCTCAGTTCTCGACAATAGGGGCTTCCTTACAATAGCCCCCGGTAGATTTTGAACAGGTCTCGCTTTGCAGCCAATGAAATGACCTTGGAGAACCTCTGTAGGAATCTTGTTAAATACTATTACATTGCGTGTGTGTGTGTGTGTGTGTGTGTGTGTGTGCGTGCGTGTGTGTGTGATTGTCAGTTACTCTTTGCTACGCGTTTAACAAGAGGACATCACCCTATAGCTTTCCAGAAAGTTTGAGTCAGGCGCTTTCCTTAATGGCTCCAATTTGCGAAGAGTCCGCTAAACGGAGGCTACATTTCAATCAGCGCTCATTTGTCTGACTAAATGGAAAAATGAGCTCTGATCTCAGTGGCAGGCCCTGTGAAATTAACAATGACAGCGGGTCTTTTTTTTTTTTTAATGCATTATATATATATATATATATATATATATATATATACACACACACACAATTTTTTTCAAAGCAATTTATCTCTATATACATATACATATGTATATTTTATAGTGTTAAAAGAGAGTTTATGTTTTGACCGACATTTTTGTCAGTAAAAGATATTACAAATTCAGATTTGGTGCTGATCCGGTTGAAGTGACAGACTGTAAACGCCCACCAATTTTTCGAGCCCATATGACAAAACAGAACATTCCACCCCAGTCCACATCCAAATTGGACCGTAGGTTCATGCCAACAACGGATGGTAACAAACAATTAGAGTTCTCCCCCTTTTTTTTTTTTTTAATTCCCCATTACTAACATTTCGGTCTCGGCTCCATGCTATTCTCGTTACTCACTGTGGGACGACTGTTTGAGACATGACGTTCTGTTTTGTTTTTTCATCTTATTCAGGGGACTCCTGGAATGCTGTCCTATTATTAGCGCCTCAGCAAGCGGTGCCAAGCCCGCTTGAAATGACTCCTTGTTAGTGTTCCACCAAAGAAATTGCCTGTTTGAGGCTTTGACTATTCTCAAAACGGTTGGAAAACTGATATATTTCATGGACCGCAACTCACCGCCCCCCCCCCCCCCGAACCCTAAAAGTCACTCAGAATCCATCCCATAAAGCTGTAAATTCATCAGTTTCAACAATAGACACGAAACAACAGGACCCATACAAAAGCCTTAATGAGGTGAACCACACCTTGGGCGTGTCAGTAAATGTTGCCAGTCAATCATTCAACGGTAGTCTGGGCGCCGATCCGCCGACGTCTGTCCAACCTTATTTCAAGCCGAACGAAACTCTAATCGTCAGTCCGTCATCTTTATTTTAATCTCGCTTGCGTCGGTCAATTTCACCGGTCTGCCAGTCCATTAATGTCCAACAGATGAAAACTCAAAAGTGATTAAAATGGTAAACACAGTGCACTATATAACAGTTTATCTGCATCAGTAGATTGCGAGCGTGCATTTGAAATTATAAATATGGTTACGTATTATTGTAAAACACATCCATCCATCCATTTTCCGATCCGCTTTTATCCTCACAAGGGTCGCAGGGGTGCTGGAGCCTATCCCAGCCGTCTTCGGGCAGTAGGCGGGAGACACCCCGAACGACCGTCCGCGCTCACACTCACACCTAGAGACAATTTAGGATGTTCAATCAGCCTGCCATGCATGTTGTTGGAATGTGGGAAGAAATCGGAGTACCCGGAGAAAACCGACGCAGGCACGGGGGGAGAAGACGCAAACTCTAAACAGGAGCCGGGATCGAGCCCATGACCTCTGCACTGTGAGGTCGAGGCGCTAACCACTGGACCGCCGAGCCGCCCCCGCTTCCCCCGCATCCGTTTTAAAATTTGGCACTTGATTGACATCCAGGGCAGCCGGTCATACGCATGACTCACCGCGAATATATATGGGTTGATGCAGTTATGCAAGATGCACCAATAATAGACTTATAAAGAGTTCTAAGTATATTTTACATAAATAAACGAGGCAGATCATTTGGACTTGGCCATTTTATAAGTAGCTCGCATGCTGAAAAAGTGTGTGCACCCTGATCTACATCATACGGTGGGCTACCCAAAGACTTTTCACAAAGCCTCACTAAAGAAGTAGCCGTTGAATTATTACACAATAAAAACACCAATGGCATTTATTATTGCTTCGGCTCCCTCTGAAGAGCCCCGGAGACGACGTTTAAATGCCACTGGAAGTTGCATATGCACTGTGCTAGGTTTTTATTTGATTTTTTTTTTCCATGTTGCATCACGCTATCCACATTCACACGATGCCCTTTTCGAACGAGTTTGACGTACTGCCAAAAGCGTATCGCGAGGCCAATCGGCCGATAGCCGGAGGCCGAGCTGCCCTGAGCAAGTATTTGTGGATGGAGTCGACGTGTGGCTCCAGCGCTAGACAGTTTTACTTCCTGTAGCTTAGCTAGTTTGTTCTTTGTGGGAACTCTAGCCGGCTGCACTTCACTGTGTAAACTGAAGAGGAATATATGTAGCATTACCTCAAAAAAAAAAAATACTTTAAGTGTTCTTCAAGCGTGCTGTAGAAAGAAATAAACAGTCAAGACAAAGCGCAGCGAAGGCCCCAGTTCAGTCCAGGTTTTTGTTTTGAATACACCACATTACAGTCATGCATTGGTTGGCTGACATTTAGATCATCAGATAAGCGCCTAATTACAAATAACCCTCTGATCTTGCACACATCGGCAACTATTTTTTGAGATTTGATGCTTCGCGAGCGGAGACAAGAGAGAAGGCATTTTTTTCCCTTCCAAGAATCGTGCTGGTCCGAACAACCGCAAGCACGTGGCCTACATCTGGAAGGCGACGACAGGGGCCAAGAAGACGGCTTGCGGCTGACGGTGAACCCCCGAGTGTTTCGCAATGGCGCTAGTCAGCCGTGAAATGACCCAAAAGGTTCTTGCAATCGGGGCTCGCATTTGCTCCCACGCTGCTCATAAATGAAAGGCACTCGAGTCGTCATTTGGCGCGGACAAAAACAAAGAGGAAGCGCCCCGCAGCCAAATGGCGTCGTGAGCGGAGGTGGTGGTTGTACAATCTGCTTTTTGATCAAAAGCACCCCCCACCCCCACAGAGAACTATTCTTCATTTGCATACTTTCCCTTGTCATAATTACACCAACGGCTTACCACATGCAACATTTGAAATCTGCACTGATTTGAACCCGACGGAGAAATGCGGTGGGGGTTTGTCAACTCAACGACTTCACCGCCACCGAGGAGAAGTCACTTTTGGAACAAGTTACCACGGAGGCCTTGTTTCCACGCACATTATTCTGTACGGTAGGCAGTTGTCGAGAAAGCCAAATTATGGGTCTGTCTTAACTTGGATGCTGCCCTTCAGCAAGGTCTTATTAGCTCAAGGGGAACTAAACCCCCCAAAATGCGTGTGCGCGCGTGTGTGTGTGTGTGTGTGTGTGTGTGTGTGTGTGTGTGTGTGTCTATACAACAATTCATCAAACTCAGGGGTTGCTACGTTGGGCAATATCGCCTTCGGGAAGTGACAACAGAACTACTTTTGCCTGGTTGGATGACTGAAATTTGGGAAAAAAAAAAAAAAAACGGTTCTCATAAAACATGTATGGGGCCAAAATACCAACAGTAAAAACTCAAGGACCACACCTGTACTTGGGTTTCATTCAGGATGTTTGATACCACTATTTTCAGACTCATATCAGAATGAGTGTTTGTTCTTTGAATATTCATCACTCCGATACTGCTTGTACTTTCGATTTATCACATTTCACATAAGACCATAACAAAACATGGTGAACAAAACCTTTCTTTCTGACAGAGATGCGATTTGCCGATGTCGTCAACCTGCCCCAGTATGGCGGCAACTACTTCTGATGAGGACTTACTCAATGTCCGACTTTCTTTGCGTGGAGTATCGGTGGCTGGTATCGGCAGCTTCTAGAACTACCCGATACCTATAAGATAAGGTCATTATTTGCCAATCTGTACGTGACCATATTGACATCAGGTGTTGAGCTACCGAGGGTGTAATATGTCGGAAAACAATACAATCCATCGAAATATGGATTGTATTGGTGGGGGGAGGGGAAGGTAACTCAAACGTGCTTCACATCATGAAAAGTACAGTTTTTCCAAACAGGAGAGTTAAAGACATGTAAAAGCAAAGTAAAGATATCAAAAGTCGCTAAAATTACGAAAAGAAAATCAAGTCAAGCTGTTGAAAGAATGGGAAGCTGCTTGGAAAGGCGCGCGAAGGCTGAATATAGGCGGCAGCGCAAAAGCGAGGAAGGCTGAAAAAAAGCTAGCGAGAGAGCCAGCGGCTGCTATGCGTGTGCGCGTGTATGTGGGTGTGTGTGTGTTGGGGGCTGGGGGGGTTGAGCTGCCGATGAGGTGTCTGATGAAAGCGCAGATTCGTTGCGCCGAGGAAGGAATGTTTTGACGCTCTCAC